CTCCGACGAGATATTCGAAAAATGATATATTTTTTTACCGGAGTTAAGAAAATTTGACGCGCGAAATGTTTCGTCTTTAAAAATTATTGCCGGCATGTAGTAGCCTACCTACTTCTCTACTTTTGTCCTCCATTTTCCGTCGATCGCTATCGTTCGTGTCTTTTAATCTTTACCGCTTCGATTATTTCGCCTAATTATTCGCGTTGCTCTGCAGGTAACGACAACGTTCGACGACATTCGAGAGTAACATGACCGAAAGAGAAATCTCTCGATTTATCGGTGCGCTCATCCGCCCCTGAATCGCATCGACAATCTCGGCTGATTCGAAAGTCTGCGGCGCAGGCAGGCAGGCAGGCAGGCAGGCAGGCAGGCAGGCAAGAAGAAACAAGTAGAAAAGGACGACGGCGATGTCCTAGTGCGGGGCGACGAGGCGAGGAAGCCTTGATATATCCGCCAAACACAAGGAGCCCGAACGCCTCGCCGGGATTTATCGGGACTACGGATAATGGATGGCTTCGCAGCTACCGAGAGGACGCCCTTTTTTAAATAATACAACGCTGAAAATTCTTGGCCCTCTCACGTACGATAATCGCAACTGTCCCAATATAATGCTCGACGCGGCGAATATAGCGGAGGTAACTCAACAGACGATTAGTTTCGTCTATTACGCGAAAGCTGTGATAAATCTTATAAACGATTCCATAAATCTCGATTACGTTAATTGTTCGACATAATCGAGAAATAAATCATCACCGTCGAATCATCTTTTTAAATATTCCTCAAGGCTCTGAGAGATTTACAGTTTAAAGATTAAGGGATGAAGAGAAAGAAATTGTAAAGGCACGGAGAGAAAGAGAGAACGAGAGAGAGAGAGAGAGAGAGAGAGAGATAGCATTCGTTTCTAATAATGCTAAGTACGATTTAGACGCGTTGGAGATTTAAATTTGGATTCAACACAATAGCAAGGCTAAACAAGAGAGAAAAAAGAAAAAATTGATAGATTCAAAATGGGACTAACGGTAACCAAGGAGGATCGTTACTAGAGACGTATATCGATGCTGCACGAGACGAGGCATCGGACGATAAATTGAATTTTCTAAAGTCCTAAATTTTGAATCGACTGTCTTCTTATATTCGATAATATCTCCTTACTCATGAAACGCCTATTAAGAGCGGAAGCATTATGTATAATTGGACACACCTCGAAATATGACGTATCGCTGTCCGCGTCTTGACTTCCTACGTGCGCCGTCCGCACGGACTACTCGCATCCTGTTCCTGGCTGCTCCCCGTGCGTAACACTCCAGATATTCACTCGACGTATTGACATTCGCGCAAGATACGAGATTCATCCGGAGAAGTGCGATTATTAACGCAATGCCGACGAGAAGACGATTAAATATCGCAAGTGCCGACGAAAACGATAATTAACACGTCAAGATACACGTACAAGATGCGCGATTTACGCGTTTCTCGATGGCTCGAGATACAACATTATGTAATTGTGACTCACAATCGCAAGAAAATATTCTGGAACTTAAAAGCGAATGAGTCGCACGCACGTCGAAAGCACCCGGGTCGAAATTTCAGATATACTCTAAATCTCGCAAGTGTGTTGACTTGTATTCCCAATAATCCTTCTCGCATTATCTGGTTAGAATTATTGTTACGTCGAATTCCGATTTAAATCTTTATTCGTACGTCAAAGACCTCAATATGATAAATTCTAACGACACGCGGATTCTCATGCGATATCGCATATTCTTCTAAGCACGAGCGCCGCGAAAGAATAGAATCCGAAAGAATCTCAATTATTTCGACGTAACAGGTATCAGCGGTTACGGGACTGCGTAACGGTGAAACTTAAAGGATTTCGGTGAAACGGGCTTCAGGTGTAGTGCAGAGTGACGACAGCTTAACAGCCTTAACCGGCTTTCCAGAGTAAATTTGCCTCTAGAAAGTAGATTTACACTAAGATTTAAGGGGAAGTAGGGACGAACGGTGTTCACGTTGGGACAGACGAACCGCGAGACAAAAACCGCGCGGCGGAGGCACCGTCGGATTGGACGATTCTCGGGAATGTATTTAATTCGATTGGCCTTTGCCACCGCCGTCGTCGGACTGAAACAAGGAGGGCAAGCGGGGAAGGTCGGCGGGACGAGGGTGGCTTTTATCAGGGGTGAGAGAACCTCTGTTTCCGCCGGAAATGAGGCCTTCGCTAAACCCCGCAACCCCGCGCCAGCGACCTACTCCCCCTATCAACCTTTCCTCCGCGCCACCCTTCGTCCTCCCGTCGCCTCCCTAACGCCCTCACTGTCGTCGTCGAGGATGAAAATCGTATTTATATCCCATCTCTCGCGCCCAGGTAAATATTACGGGCGAGTGTACGCACCTGCCGCGACGAGCTGTGACAAGCGAAATCCGCGGAGCCGAAAAATCGACGCTCTTTCGCCGTGATGTTCCTCTCGACGCGCCGTAACTGCGTTTAGAGGAAGCAGCGCTTTTACACTCGAAACTCGCAAACTCCGTTGCTCAACGCGGAGCAACAAGAAACTGCAGCGACAAGATCAGAGACCAGGTGCAGATTCGTTTGTCGTAAGACGATCCTCCATTTGTTGGAATTTTTTATCACAGCGGTATGTTATTTCCATCTTCTCTTTTTTCTTTTTTTGCGAAGTTAAGTTGTTGTGTGTGTGTGTGTGTGTGTGTGTGTGTGTGTGTGTGTGTGTGTGTGTGTGTGTGTGTGTGTGTGTGTGTGCAATAAAGATATTTTTATTTTAAAGATGACAAAGTCTTATAAAAGCTGTAATTAATTATCCTGGACAAAAGCTGCTTTAAATAGTTTTTAATGTCACCGTAATATAAAAAGTAAGTTTTTGTTACAAACTGAAAGGATTTTATTCATAACTGCACCGTATATTTTTAGACACGCCAAATCTGACCGAATGTTATATATAGCCGTAAGACGGATTAATGAAAAAATTAATGAAGCTTGAAATTATTTCATAATAATTTCATAATAATATAAATCCATATATTTTTTTATTTCAATAAACGAAAATTTGCGATATCGAGTGATCAAAGAATTTTTCAGCTGGTCAAAATATACGCTGATAATGCAATGCGTATGTATGTGTGTGTGCGTCTGCTCTATATAAAAAAAAAAATCCTCGATATCGGTCGACGTATAAATTCTACTTCCATATTCTCTGCTCTCCTATTCTCTGATCTTGACATTATAGAAAAATTCAATCGTTCGAATAAATTCTATAAGATACGATTCCCCGAAATGCTGCTTGAACGAAATTGTCGTTTTATCCGATTAAATACTCCCTCGCTGAGGAAACACGTCTCGCTCTTAACGATAATTAGCATGAACTTTGACATAAAATAATGTAAGATTCATCCGATCATTAGTCTGATCGATCTCGCCGGGTTCACCATCAGTTTCATGCTTTTCTCGAAGAGGTGCGGGCGCCTCGATTTCGTCCCAGTACCCCCTTCTTATGCCTGCTTATTCATAAGCCTTCTTAGAGCAGGTACGCGGTCTCTCTCCCTCCCCTTCTCCCCCCTCTCTCTTTCATTCTCTATCTCCGACATTCTCTCTCCCTCCCCTTCTCTATCTCTCTTTTTGTTTTCATTCTGCGCGCGAATCCTCCGAATAAGACGCAGGATCTAGAGGCAGACGGCAGGCAGGCAGAGCAAGAATCGAGATGGAAGAAGCTTACCGCTGCTCTCTCTAGGCGGATGTCGACCGGCTGCTCTCCCACTCCTTTCCCCCGCCTCGCTGAGAGAAGATGTAATTTTCGCTGTATGCCCAGATTAGAAGCCAGCTCGTCGGGACCTAGCCGGTTCCAGGCCGCCTGATAAGTATTGCCTTCCGTATGCCAGCCTCCTCCTGAATGCCCTAGAACTGGAAAAGGGATTCGAGAGATGATCTCGGTGCGATCGATCGACCTCGTGACGTGACGTCACGGACGACGACGACGATGGGCGCCCATTATATCTCGTTAAGGAGCTACGTATCCGCATCGGCGCGGATTTGTGGAATCGCCTTGAGCGTAATGAAGACGTATATACACCGAACTATGTTGAATAAATGTCATTGCTATTAATATGGCTTATGGCGAGCTGTATCAAGCGACGCACGCGATGTTTCACTCAAGCAAAGCCATGAGAAGTATGTGTGAGAAGAAATATGTGAATTATATATTAACGGAACAGAAACAATAGCCCCTCTTGAAAATTTTAAGAATTTTAACTCAAAATAAACAAAAGTTTGATGAAAATCCCATTTGAATTTATCGTTTATGTTGGAATTGAAATTGTTAGGTAAAAAAAAGGAGGGGGTATAGAAAGAGAGAGAAAGAGAGAGAGAGAGAGAGAGAGAGAGAGAGATATCGCGACCGAGAAGACGCGATTCTCAGAGATGAAACGAGAGTGTAGCTATCATCCCACGCCCCTTCCGTATTCACTTCGTGCCGTTCTTGTGACAGAACGGGACGAAACTTTTACTAGACGAAATCTCTGAAAGATCGGATAATCGGATTAATCAAAGTTACGGTTAAAAGGATCGTCGACGTAACGGAAAAAAACATAAATAAATAACGTGCACAATGTCGATATATATTATATTTAAATATATATATATATATACACACACACACAAGTATAAATATTCAGATTAAATATTCGTAATAAGCTAACATTTCAATGTCGTTGACAAATGTTTGTATCGGGCGCATTGATTGCTTATTGAGTATAATATTCTTGCAGTTATCAATGAAAAATATTGGGATTCAGATTTTCTATTCACATATTGGATAAATTTTGATGATTGCATAATAAATAAAATATTAAATTTAAATAAAAATTACAAACATCACACAAAAAATAAGCATCAAATTGATACTCTGCAATATTTTAAAATTTAATGGAATGAAATCCAGAATTTGCTAATTGCAGAGACAAAATTAAAGACAAATAAAGAGTAATCCAAATTACTCCAAATATTTTATCACTTTTATTTATTGTAAAACTTACAACCTACAAGATATATAATCGTATAATTTAATGCCATTAATTTGTAAATAGGGTTTTCAAAAACTGAATACTTCTTACTAGTTGAAACTTCATGTTGTGACAAGAGAAACAGTAAATTTGGTAGTGCACAAATCATTTTTGTATTTTTCTTTCTTTTTTACTCATCTGTAATTCTTCAATGCAATTGTGTTTGACATGTGAAAATATAATCTCCTAGTTTGCTTGAAAATGATGTTCCATATGACCGGCTAAACTTGCACAGCTAAATGTTTAATTAATGACCATACCTATGAACAGAAATAATAAAATAATTAATTACTTCATACATATATATCTTTTTGTTAAGGAAATAAGTCGCATACATAAATGTGGTATAAATCTTATTATATAAATTAAGCAATATACACTTACTTCTGGAATTCCCATTCACGATTGTCAAGAGGACATACTTGTCGTGTTTTCAACCAGCGTGAGATGCAGTGAAAGTGAAAAGCATGCTAAGGAAAAAGACATACGATTACAAAACCGATTAATTGATACCATATTAATAACAGCCATAATAGTATTAACATTGAAGTATTATTATCAAACATACGTTGCATACACCCCATGCTACTGTGCACTCCTCACTTGTAGCAGACGCTTGATTTGCTTGACATTCAATGCACAGATCCATAATATGATTACGGCAGATAGCACAATTGTCCACAACGATATCTGCAAAGCCAATATATTAGGAACTATAGCTTGTGCTATATTACAGATTTTAGAATTCCAACAGTTGATTTGATTTCCTACCCCATGCCCATAGTGCTACTGCATTCCACTGAAACAAAGATAAATTTGTATGAATAACAGATGAATATGCAAGAATATGCAAGAGCAATACATCAGAATCGTGACAAAGCGTAAATGAGGTTAGGAAAATGACATTTGTATGTCGAGATGTAGCCGCAAGTACAATAAGTTTCGCATAATGTATTCACATGTTTTCATTTACCTTCTTCACTTCAAAACGCTTCTTCTCGCCCTTCCCACTGCTGGAAGTCGGCAGGTCGCAGTCATCGTCGTCGATTTCCATCGTCGTCGCCATTTCCAAATTTTTACCGTTGCTGATCAAGTGACACCTAACGAACGTTAAATCAACTGACTGTCGACAAACCGTCGACTCTAGATAAAAAATTCCCTGACTACCACTAGAGCTAGGAAAAGGGGATTTACATTACCGACAGTTTGCACACACATGAATAGTTATCCAAATAATAAAAATTACTAAGTTAATATTGCACTCGTTTGCATATCGTTTGTGTTTGAAACTAGCATCACTCGAAAGAAATTAATATTTCATTATATAAAAAAATTAGTAACACTTAGAGAGCAAAGTATGCAGCAATGCACAGGGTGAATTTAAATAGTTGGACCAACTTTTTACTTTATGAGGCACATTACTGACACGCTGCATGTCTAATAGCAACGTACAGATGGCAGTTGCATAGATGCTATGCTATGCTAACCTCGGGTGCAAAGTACAGGCATATTAGAAATTGGGAAGTTTTTGCAAAATACAACATAAACATTCAAAAATATATAAAAAAAAGGTTTATCAATAACAATAAAATTCTGAAATGCAAAAAATATTATTTATTTTTATGTCAATATATCAAATTTAATTTCAAAATTATTAAATTAACAAAAGTTAGGGCACCATTATAGTAATATATTCTTGATAGTAAATAAAGTAAAAAAGTCTAATACTATTTTTTCTTTCGACGAATAGTTAGCGAGATATCGTAAGTTAAATGTTGAAAAAGTTACCAAGTTTTCCTTAAATATTTCAAGAAATATTAGGCAAATAAAAAATGTTTCAGACATAGGTCGTTAAAATTAATTGGTAGGAAAAGAAGATATGATAAAAAATTGGACTTTCTATTTTAAAAAATTAAGTCAACCTTCAACTGACCTTGAAAATGCCCTCCAAATAAAAAACTGATAATGCCATTCTCTTTCCCCTTCGAAATCATAGAACACGTGTGTTTTAGGTTTTTTTAATATCTTTCATAGTTTTCGAGATGTTTTACCTGTTACGTTTGAAATTTAGCATCCTGTATATATATACAAACGAAATCTAAACAAGCCTTAAAGTGCGCACTTAGTGCGCATTAGTGCAAGCAGTCAAATTTACTAAAAAAATTTTTGACTGATAATGACCATTGACGTCCCACATTGGACATCCTATGGATGTCCTAATATTAGAATCCATATGGATTCTAATAAAACCACATGGATTAAACATGGATAAAAAATATATCAACCTATGTGATCGTACATGAAATATCGAAATTCTATCAATTTAATACTCGAAATAATCATTCTCCATTCTCTCACAAAGCGTAGTTCTTTGCAACATTACGTTACATACTCGATGCAAGACCTATACTTATTGCACAACAAAGTCATAATTTTGTCCTTCAAATCTGAGTGTTAGCAGGTCACGTTGCATATACCTGCTATTTGAAATGACCTCACAGATAAAAATGTCTAAAGATGTAAGAATCGGTAGACATGTTGGTTATTCGCGGGGACTGTAGCGGAGGCCCAATGTAACGGTTATCAAACTTCTAATTTAACAATTTTCTTGTCACTTTGGCACAAGAGTATGTAATAAAATATATATGCGGTTCATAAACACGATAGGCGCATTATTAGTTGCAATCTTTAATCCAATGACACTTACCAATTTTTCTCCGGCGAGGCTGGACAAGAGTACAGCCATTCAAAACTTTCTCGATGATTATACCGGACGGACGATTTTCATCTGGCATCTTCGACGGTTCGTCGTCAACGGCTATTTAACATTATTTTGTTAAGAGAAACGCGCGTAACTTATATTCGGCATTCCCAACGGTGATAAATTGCGCGCGATACATACTTTGATTTGACGAGAAACGCGGGACAATATTCTTTGATTCCGTACTGCCTCACGACTGCTGCATAACTGAAGTTGCAGTGATTGAGAATCTCGAAGTATCGAGAGTTCGATACAGTGAACCCTCGATCCAATCATTAGAGATCTGTCTGTTTTCATAAAACTTTGAACTAGTATTAAGTTGGAGTAAAAGAAAGTATACTCTTTTCACTACTCTCATCTCACTTATTACACTAGTTCAGAAGTTGCTCGAAAACGAACAAATCTAATAATTCACTCATTTGCATTGCAACTGAGTGATGTGACGTAATATGAAACAGCCAACTTGCTGGAGATTGTTTCGATACTCGTAGTAATAACTCATCATACTACGACAAATTGACGAATGAATTTACTCGCAGCTTGGTATACATAATACAGAATTCAACTTTGGCGCGCGCGGGTTGATAGCTTTCGGCCGACAGCAAAAAACCGCGAAGACATGAAGATCGTGAAAACTGTTAGAAAGAGAAGGCCACGGCCAACCTATCTTTGTCCAGCTTGACTTTTGAATCTTTCTTTTCCTTTGGTACGACGAAGATAGCATGGCGGTAACATTAGAAGATAGACTATAGCTATCCTTTCATCAAAACTCTCTTAAGAGGGCGCAGTCTATACCTGTAAGCTACGTGCCGTTTGTCGCATCTTGTCGCGGGAGTGCGATCGTGCGTGGAATGTGCGTTCGCGACATTACAAACACGTTGCATACGAAATGTAAATAATAAACGACGTGCTGGGCCATTAAATAAAAAGATTGGCCGAGACTCTGTTTACTTTCGGGCGACATCGTTTCAGTGAGTGTCCCCCACATGAATTACCGGTGATACGTTTCTGACAGCGTGTTCGCAATGGCCGATGAGTCCTCTGCGTTGCCGAAGAGGCGGCAATTGGTAAACAAACCGCGACCGCGTGTTCGCCGACGGCGACGGCGGCTACGGCGGCTGCGACGATGACGATGATGCCGTTCCGCCGCGTCGAAGGATATTCGAGTCGACATTGTTCTTCATCATCTGATCTTATTTGCAGCGCGAAAGAACCAAGAAACTATACACCGACGACTGGACTCTAGGGGATGAGGAAATCGAGGGTCGTAGAACGTTCCAGCTTGATGAGAAGATCGAATGTGATAGGTATGACCTGAGCAACTTCAGCGGCCTCTTCCGAGAAATGAATGGCTCTGAATTGAATTTGGCATATTTGCAAAAATATGGGCTACAAATACCATTGTTATTCAGGGAAATGTCGGGGCTAGGACTGCGAGTGCCTAGCTCCAACTTTTCAGTAAATGATGTCCGAACTTGTGTTGGTAAGTTTTTTATATGTAGAAGAAAAGATATGTTGTTCTTAGCGGATAATAAAACATCTTCAAATCTACAGGTTCTAAGAGAATTTTGGATGTGATGGATGTTAATACTCAGAAGAATGAAGACATGACGATGAAAGATTGGCAAAAGTATTATGAGGATCCTAACAAGGAGCGACTGTTGAATGTGATCTCCTTAGAGTTTAGTCATACCAAATTAGAGAATTATGTACAATCACCTGCGTTGGTACGGCAAGTTGATTGGGTCGACGTAGTATGGCCAAGACACTTGAAAGATGCTCAAGTGGAATCAACTAACCTGTTGGAGGACATGATGTATCCAAAAGTACAGAAGTATTGTTTAATGTCAGTGAAAGGATGTTACACTGACTTCCATGTTGATTTTGGTGGTACCAGTGTATGGTACCACATTCTGCGCGGTGGTAAAATCTTCTGGCTGATTCCACCAACTGAAAAGAACCTGGCACTCTATCAAGAGTGGGTGTTAAGTGGCAAACAGTCGGATGTATTTTTTGGTGATATGGTAGACAGATGTGGCAGAATAAGTCTAACAGCTGGTATGACATTATTTATACCAACTGGTTGGATACATGCTGTGTATACTCCTCAAGATTCTCTAGTTTTTGGTGGGAACTTCTTGCATAGCTTTGGTATAGAAAAACAATTGAAAGTGGCGCAAGTAGAGGAGCATACCAAAGTACCACAGAAATTTCGGTATCCATTCTTTACAGAAATGTTGTGGTGAGTCAATGATCTATTTTTTTGTATTTTGAAGACGTGTGTGATGTAAGAAAAAATATATTTTCTTTAAAATATGATATATTTATATAATACACATATATTTCATATTCTTTCTTACATCTCGATAACCATCAATATTATAATATATATACTTTTTATATATATATAATATTTTCTTGCAGGTATGTTCTTGAACGGTATGTGCATGTACTCTTGGGTAGAAGTCACTTAGAAATAGCTGAATCACAGAAGCAACATTCAGTTCCACCACAGCATCAACACACACACATTACTCCATTTGAGTTACATGGCTTAAAAGCAATAGTTATGTATTTACATTCTTTACCCTCAACGAAGAAAAATGTGCCGGAACTCATACGCGACCCGGTTGCTTTGATTCATGATGTACGTTGTTTAGTGGAACAACATCGGCATGACAATCCCGAAGCTGCTGTAACGGGAAATGCCGTATTACCATCCCCACCACCACTCACCATCGCCGACAGGGTAGATACATATCGTTTACAAAACTACACTCGATGCATTTGGATTTAACAATCTTAATCACGTTGCTTCATTATATCATAGGAACGATTGAGAGTGGCGCGGAAGGGTTTCATGAAAATACCACCGAGACTTCCATCGGAGAAATCTGAGAGAGCATTCCCGCGTAGAAGACGCACTAGATGTAAGAAGTGCGAAGCTTGCACCAGACAGGATTGTCGAGAATGTGTATACTGTCAGGATATGGTAAAATTCGGTGGATCTGGTCGCGCTAAACAAACGTGCCTGATGCGCCAGTGCTTAAGGCCCATGCTACCAGTGACATCAGCCTGTAAAATTTGCCAGTTGGACGGTTGGAGACAGCCGCCAGCACCGTTGATGGGTATGTATATGACTTGTAGCGAATATAAACTTTTGCTTGACTATTCTTAATTTTTATCATGTTTTGCTAGCGTACTATTACAATATAAGTCCTGAGTGCAAAACTGCACAGATAACTCCTACTAATTTTGTTAAACGACTTTTAATTATATTAAAGCCTAAATCTTTCGTAATTATCAAACATTTGTATCTCTAAGTTTAAAAACATGATGTGTACATGAAAAATTGTATTTTTTTATTAGAAGATACTATGTCAGTTAGCAATTTTTACTTACGCTTATACTTATGCTATTTTATATTGGGTTTCTCGTTTTAATAACTTTCGTCATCAATATCCACATTGTTAACTAATTTATTACATATTCTTTACATTATATTTTAAATACACATTTTGTGTATTTAAAACAATTATTATATTAGTTCTTTACTGCTTTAATAGTACTGCTTTAATACTAATTTGATAATTTACGATCGTTGATTTCAATAAAGAATTAATGTTGATTTTCAATGTTTTAATAGGCTATAAATCATATTATATTTGAGGTACAATTCAAGCAATTTATTAAATAAAATGCTTTTATCTTATATATAGATTTGCTATCTTAGCTTTTATTATTTATATCTTTTATACAGTTCATTGTCATTTGATTACACGAAAGAAATCAAATATCAAGTATAAGATGACATACTAAGGGTATAGTGACATAAAATAATATACTACAAAATATATATAGAGTGATATAGCAATGATCTTATATCGGAGAATCATGTTGCAAATGTTACATCTTGTTATTGCGAAACGTAATAGTAACCCGTGCGAATATTCAAATAAACAATTGCAGGTAAACCAATTCCCAACATACCGTCGAAGTTAATGGAATGTTCAATATGCTTCGACATCGTACATCCGGAATGTATAGGTTTGAATTCCGACGAAGTAACAACAGTTAATGACGATGTGCCGAATAGTTGGGAGTGTCCTCAGTGTTGTGAACGAGGTCGAAATGTAGATTATCGACCGCGTCAACAGAAATCCCGTTCGCGAAAACTATCAGTGTCGAGCGCGGGATCGTCGGCGCCCACTTCGGATTCCGAACGAGCTACAACGCCGAATAAACAGCCAAGGATGGAGGAGGTAAATTAATAGTGTTTATAAATAGATCGCAATTTGCATTTTTGATAAAATAATCTACGCGTTCTTGATATTATGTATTCACAACTGGATCTCGAGGTAGTACTTCTAAGAACTATATTCTGTCGTTGCGCCGATATATAAATTCCACATTGCTCGTGTTTCAGGTAAACGATTCTCCTGCGGAAGCAGCTGACAACGAACGAAGAACAATTATGCGCAATCACTTGGCAATGCAATTGATCGCTGGAACTAGCAGAAATCTAATCAGGCCGCACGTGGTAGTCAGGCCTGCACCACCGCCACCTATCCCGAAATCAGAAGAAGACGGATCAAATCTAGCGTACGATAAGACGGTGATGCTGTCAGTGTTCCGATATCTTAACGTAAGAGATCTGTTTAATTGTGCCTTGGTCTGTCGTACCTGGGCGAGATATAGTATAGATCCCAATTTATGGAAGAAACTTGACATGTCGCATGTCCGCCTGGAGCCTTTGCATTTGACCTTCATCGTACGCAGACAACCGGAGAACCTGAAGCTCGATTGGACCAACGTTAACAAGAAACAGCTGATTTGGTTGTTGACTAGACTACCGCAATTACGAACGTTATCTCTTCAAGGTTGCGCCTGGACCGCAGTTTGCGGCTTGAGAACTTGCTGCTGTCCACCTCTGACAATGCTGGACTTGAGTTATGTTACCGGATTAAACGACGCTAATCTAAACGAGGTTCTGAGCCCACCAACGGATTCACGACCTGGTCTCATTGACAAGACGTCGAGATTAAAGCACCTGAAACATTTGTTCCTGGGTGGATGCGATATTACTGATCTCGGAGCTAGATACATAGTCGAGCATCTGTCGTGCCTAGAAAGTTTAGATTTATCTTCGTGCGGTAGACTTACTGACATGGGTGTGGCTCAACTAGCAACGCAGAAATTGCCAAACTTGATGTCGTTGAATCTAGCCAGCTGCAGACTACTCACAGAAACCACCTTGGATCACCTGGAACAGTGTAAAGCATTGAAGCACCTAGATCTACGGCACACTACTCAAGTATCGACTCAGGCCGTTATCAGGTTCGCAGCAAAGAGCGAACATAACTTGCACGTGACGGATGTGAAGCTGGTGGAAGAAAAGAAACCCGAAACTGAGGCCATGATAATATCATGAAAAGGCCTCAAGTGGTGCTCGCGCGTATTATTGTTCAGTGCAATCCGGTTCTGTTAACGCACGTAGAAATCACTGCTTGCGTACGAACCGTAATTGCAAAATACTTGCGACTAGTGAGGATTTTTATTTTACACAAAAAGATCGGTACATGACGTGCATCATTATATGATGTGACAGGAAAGACCTGACTAGCATAAGATTTCTATTGTGGTGACACCCTTTACCGACATAAGGCCAAACGTGGTCTTGGCGAAGACGATTTTTTCGCGACTTGTACGTTATTTTTCTTGTTTTTGATTGCGAAAGCTTATGTACTGTTTGATTGTTTGAATTGTACGATTTTTTTAAGTTATACCATGCTTGATTCTAAATATCTTTCGCCTGAAAGTAGTTTTTGTCCTTTATATTGCATAAAATTCAGTTTTGTTGTTTGTCTGGTAAACGTGAAGAAGATAATGTGGAATGACGTTGGAAACTTATTGCTTTTTTAAACGTGTCACCTTCAACAAATTGTGAGCACTTCATAAAGAAATTAATGTCTATTATTTTATTTCTTTCTTTTTTTATTCAGCGTGAGGTCAAGTCGGGTTGCTGAGACAAGTCGTATTCATCAAGATCCGACAGAGAGTATCTGTCACAATGTACGGAAAGGTACAGTATAAAAATTCTATATCGAATCATTGTTGACCGAATACAGTATTTTTCGCATAGGTTGTGGAAATTGAAAACGTGCGTGTGCGCATACACATGCAAGAAAAGTTAGTATTTATTTACATGAAACTCGAACAAATCTTAAACGAGAGATATCTCAACTGTAAAAATATGAGAAAGCTGCCTGAAACCACAGACATATACAGACCACAGATATATATACAGTTTATCCATAAACGCGCGCCAATTATACACATATACACACACACACACATACACACACACACATACACGATTGTACCATTTCGCAATGTTAGTTAGGTGATCTCTAAATGTCGCACGAAGACAGCATGTACATGTTTCGAATTTTAATCTTCGACCTAAGCTGCATTTTCGTAGGCGACGTAAAACATTTTGTGTAAGCGGTTATGTACATATACCTGCTTTTTTATATAAACGCACGTTTTAGTTGTCTGTTTTCCTTCATGTTCCTTCTCTTTTCCTCTCCGCTCCTCAAGTTATTCTACACATAATTTTATTATAAACTAATTATAAAATAATAGCAAGCAATAGCTTTTAAGTGCTGTCTTACATCTTACTGAATTAGACATATCAGGTCTATTTATTTTAACATTGTAGTATATTATATTCTCTGCAATATTAGTTATTAATTAATATTATTTAGAGGGAGAAAGAAGGAAAAGGAGGATTAGAGAAAGAAATGCAGCTAAAAAAAAAATAGATCTCATTCTTTTACATGAAGGTTTATTCGCGTTTTGGTAATTTCCTACATTTTGTTGCTCCTTTATTTGTAAGCCTTGATTGAATTACGACGTTTGAATACAAACATGTAAATTTTTTCTTGCACTAGCATTAAAATCTAATAAAATTACAAAGCATGGATATAAACTGGCAGAATACGTCGAAAAAAATTACTTTAATAATTCTTCGTTAATGATTGTATATGTAATTCAATCTGTACGTGATCTACGTGTTCAACGAAAATAAACTTAACAGCAGATTGTAACGAGTTTTCGACATACTTCACAAATATATCAAATATGATCAAAGACAAGAACATATTTTGTTCTTTACTGTGATTTACAATGCAAGAAAAGATTTATATATTTCGCTTCTGGCGTCAAGAATAATACGATACAAGGAAAATATAATATCGCAGCAGAAAAAAGCTGTGATCTAAATTCAAATGCAGAAATTTTGTACAATTTTGTTATAATTGCGTATTGAAAACATACGTCTGACACTTATTATTCCGAGCAATAATTCTTCCCATTGTTGACTAAAGTAATATCTGAGAGATTACGAAACTATTACGAATTGAAAAAAACATTTTTCTGTTTCCTTCGAGGTGATATTTCTGTGCAATTTCATTATATTTCAACGAGAGCCGAGAATGAAATTGTCACGTTGCAATATTTCGCAATATACATATATGTAGTATACGTATAATCCACAAAAATCGCTGAAGAGTGATGGTCTGATTTCTATCAGTGTTGAACAAACTTTAAAAGACATATTATTCCGCTATAACGCTCGACTTTCTTGCGATTTATAATTTATATGAAATATAATGCAACGAAAACTTTATGCATTCTGAAACTATTGTGGAATTTACTGCGGGGCAACTGATAGTGAATTCCGAGAATTGTACACATTAACACGTTTATTTTTTCGGACATTATATTAATTGATGTTCACTTTCTTCCGTAAGATTCTTTAACATTAATATTTTTATCGTATTTAAAATAAGCATACGTTTATTTTAACAGGTAACAGACGGTGTCCGTTAAAATCGATGTCCAATACTTGCGATTGTCTATTCGAAAATTTATTCGGAATCATCCAACGTGGATAAAATTTTTTCTGAAACAAAAAGAAAGTATCTCTCAATTTAGTAGTGACTTGATCTACTTAATTTTTGTTAAACGCTATAAATAATGCGTGTATTCATAGCGGTCGCGTTATTTACGAGGCAAATCAAATTTTACTCAACGCTATAATGTTATTCAAAATCATTGATAGTATCCATCTAAAATTATTAATAGTAATTTTTTAAGAATTGAAGAAAGATTGTGAGATACTTATTAAGGCTGTGCAAAATTTGATTTTAAAATCTATATTTAACCGGTACAAACAATCGTACGTATCTATCGATTCCTCGAATCGAATTCTTATAATTTTAACATGTACATATTTAAAAATGTAAAAAGAAATCATTTTATGAGGGTGGACATTCTATACACTCTTATAGTTTTCAACATACATAGTTTTCAACATACGTGATTGTAAATTTAGCTAATCAGAAATTGCAACACTTTTCTCAATGAGTTTTATATATCTAACAGGAAAATTTGTTTTTTGGTAATTCTCAAGAGATTCATTTTTCTATTTAATATGCGTTACAAAACTTATAAAAAAAAATGCTGCAACTTTTGATTAGCCGACTGTACGATCGCAGATGTAAAGAATGATATATATTAAGTGCACAACTTGATTTCTCGACCCCAAAATTCAATCACTGGCCTATTCAAATTTATATTTTTTTCTTACCATATAATGGTTTGAAAATATAAAGCTTAAGTTTTAAAATGTACTATAATATGGCAGCTTTGTTAACATAACATACTTAAGAAATAGTAGTGAAACTGAAGTCAGGTTATGTGAAACCTAACTAACGGCTTTCCTCTCAGCTTACATAAGCTTTTGGAAATAACTTGTCGTGTTACTCCAAATAAATACGCAAGCTCTACCTGCGTGCGACAAAATCTAAACATTTTTGGAGTTCATCTTCAATATGTTTTGGTTATTTCGAATGTCCTTGAAATTCAAATCTCCACTCTTAAACTTTTAAAACTACTTACATGTACTGTAAGGAACAACACGATCTTGCTATTCAGGTTTAAAAAGGACTTTTTGCATAAGATAGTGACGAAAAGTAGATACTTTATAACAATCCGAAGAGGCAAAAATCTTTGATTTATTAAGAGAATTAAGTTGCACACCTAATATTTCTTTCGATGCGTTTGACAGAACGCATCCGATATTCATTAAGAAAATAATAAGAAAATTAAAAAGAAAGATATCTCTCTCTCTCTAAGACGGAAATAAAAAAAGCTTTCTGAGAATCAGTCAAACAAAAAAATGTCTCTACTTCTGCTGAATATCAGATGTATTCCGAAATGAATTAAAGAACAAACATATATCAATCTTTATGTTTGCAATTGTACATAACGCACAATTTTACACGCTGAAAAAAGAGAAAGGAAGTATGGAGAAATTTTACTTTTATAACTATTTTCTTATAGATTGTTTGATTTTCACTGACCTGCAATTACTTTCTTCAAAATTTGACAGTTTTCTTCTTTCTCTTCAACGAATTTGAATATACGTTCATTTCATTTTGCATACATAATGAATATTCTTTTAAATTTTATCACGTATTATAAATGATGAAATTTAAGAAGGTTTTCTCATGTATAACTTAAAAATTTTCGAAGATGTGCGTGTAACGTATGTATATTGGATTGCTCGCAGAGCTCGTTCGAATTTCTTTTGTAAGAGATAAAAATTAATTATTTGAATTAATTAATTATTTGACAATTAATTATAATTAATATAATAATTAATATAATAATTATAATAATTAATTATTTGAAAAAATTAATTATTTGAACCATTTTGGACAATATCGAGCTGTCTTCTAAGTAAATTCTGTTCCGTCAATACAGAATCGAATGAGTTTTTCTATTTAAAAGATTTTCCACGGTGGATTGTAACAGTCCCCAAAAATTTAGATTCTTTACCGTTTTTAAACAAACAAAACACATAATAGTCTGAAGATGCTTGCAAAGTCGAGAATATAAAAATAAAATATAATAGAAATAACATCTAACAATCCCAACCGAACTGTAAACATTTTTTTGAATAGCCGAAGACACATTTGGTTCTGTTAGAAAAGTAACCACTTTTACGACTTATCAGTCACTCGGACCTTTTCCTCTCGTTCAATACCTAAAACTACCTGCGATGGGATTCTATAATTTCTTAACGACGCTTATATCGTTGCGCATCTTTTCTGCCTTATTTTACATGAAGTCCAGAAGTCTGTTCAAAAAGTATGTTATACTGTAGCGAAAAAGAGAGTTAATCCAAAAGTCAAAGGCGATGATGTCCTTTCCAAAGTATTCCCTTTTGAAAGCCATAACTTTCTTGGGAACGACATTCTGCCACTGTGGGAAACAGTTCTTTATAGCTTTCGGAATAGCTAACTACTACCTCGTCGCTTTCCTTTTTATTTCTTTTATGTCATCAAATTTCCCTTTTAGAGGATATTTCAATTTGGGGAACAGCCAGAAGTCGCAGGGAGCCAAATCAGGACTGCAGGAGGGCCGACAAAATTGAACAATTTCGTGTTTCATCAGAAATTACTCGATAAGTTACAATAAATAGGCAGATATGTTGTCGTGATGAAGCACCCAGTCGCCAGTTTTCCACAAAGCAGGCCGTTTCTTCTCACTGCGTCATGTAATCGCTTAATCGATTAATTAAAACTTGAACTTGTTTCACATTTTCTCAACTCGTTTCTTTTGCTTCAGCGTCTTCCAAAGAAAAAAAAATCTGTTCTCTAAAGTTGGCAAATTACTTCTAACATATTCAATCATTCATAACATTGTCTTCTTTGCGTAAAGTAAAATGATAAAAATATAATTTCATGTTTTTCTGTTTTTCTGTTTTCAAATTTGGCTACATCTCTCACTGACACTTAATAATTCTGCGCAATTTCTTTTCTCAACACGCTATAAAGTGCCACGTCTCAGAATTGTGTAAAATTATAGATTAAGAATGACAATATTTATAATATTGACTTCTAATGTTATCTATTGATGAAATCTGAACGAATTTTCTGGTCAATCCAATAAATCATACAGCTAATGGTGGTCGCGTATTCTTTATATCGAAGTTTCAAGTTAGCAAAACCTATGTTATGATCTGTGAATCAATATGAAATCTCTTTTCTAGATGTTCATTAGCCGAAGCTATTGGTCTTATGCACAAGTAGTTGCCATCTTATGTGCGATGGCTCTTATGATAACCATGTGAGCGACATATGGCGTTTGTTTGCGTCATGTTGGACAAAACGTAAATTGGAACAATGCGATTCTGCCTGCGCTCAAGAGGAGTGACCGATCGACCCACATCATCTTCTGAGATTATCGATCTTTTCCGCCAACCTGATTTTTATTCACGTAAACTAAAACATTGAATTATCGTTAAGAATCTCTAGGAAAGTTCCTCTGCTCAACTAACAATCTTTTATTAAAAAAAATATCTTACATCTTGATAGCAAAGAAAGAAACGAGATGAAGGGAAAACGAATGATTCTTCCGTCGCGGAATATCGAATATTTCGTGTCGGATTTGTTTAAAATGCGATCTCCAAGATTTTTATTGTTTCAGCAAACGTACGATATTCCACCGTGAAATATACAAAGATGTCCGTTGTACATTATGGCAAGATTATGATAACTGGCGACATGATTTAGTTAGCATATATTATCAAGTTTATGCCTCTGAACAACTCTCAAAAGGCTTTAACTCGCACTCTTTGTTTATCGAAAAGTTATCAATAAAAATGTTTGAAAAACATACCAGTCAACATTAATGCTAAAGTTGGTTATTCATTGATATGTAGGTGAAATCATTGCAATATTGTATTCATATAAATAATAAATATTGTTTAATTCAACTAGCTGAAAAGATTTCACAAATCTCCAAAATCAAAAGTATTAAAAGCTACTTGAGAATTATTGATGGTTTCCTTCGTAATCTCTGCGACCAGATTCGTATTCAGCGCACAAAATTATGTAGGAAATCGCCTATATATAATATTTAAACAATAAAATTTCGCAGATCCGTATTACCGATCCTATACAAGATAGCACGTATCGGGAATCGTAAACGAAAATAAGCAGATACATCATAGCATATGGCTCTGTATATATTAACATGTAAATAATAAACATTAAGAACAAAACATTCTTACCAACAAATATAAATTGCATAATTAACCTCTTATTATTTTGCTTCTTTCATAAAAATCCTAAAAATAAAAAATCAGCGATTTTTTATTTTCACTATTGCTTTTCCTACGTTAAAATTACTTTTGAAAAATCATTTTGATTTTCATTTTGAATCGCCATTATCGTAATCTTCCCTAAGTTATAAAGCGCTTACCGTGAAAAAATTTACTCAAAAGTCTTCTGCATTGCGTGCACGCGTGTCGTATACATACATATCTCTGCCTGCTGTATGTGATCGTAATTTCTTTGTTTCCTTTGGTTCCTCTTTCATTATGTGCAATTGTTGAAGGAAATGTCATTTGTCAATTAGTATCGTCGTGTTGCAAAGTATAATAGTCATATTTCACGAAACTGGGCTCGGCTTTCCAGGTTGTCAGTCTTCCGCGGGCAAAAAGCTTTCGACCCGTGTTTTTATATTTGACGCTAAACGCGATATTTCTCCTAATTATGTGACGCGCAATAAAAAGATGTAAAACGATTGCGTATGAAATGTTGCATGAGAATAATATCAAGAACATCACGAAATGAAAAAAGAAATATAAAGAAGATAATCGCAATTTAAAAGAGAAGAATCCTTTTTATCCTCGTCCCCTCATAGGTGATCATATTTAGCGCCAAACCATACCATATTTTTGCAATCGCGCGATGTCGAGATAATATTTTGGCAGTTATAGAAAGAATGCCTTTGCGCGGAAATGCTTCGTGCGGTAGGACGTATTGTGTGACTGTATGATATTCTTTGTGACAGAGGCACCTCCTTGTGACGCGTCAACGCCGCCGCTCCTCGTGTAAAAATTGCTCGAGTAAAGTGTATGTGTGTGTGTGTAATCATTTCTTTTCATTACATATAACATTCTCTACATTTCATTATGCAATATTTATACGTGTATGTATACAATTTTTCTGTACTCCGGAGAAATATCCCTTCCCCCCTACATTAATCTAACCTAGCTCCGCTAAGACAGAATCAAGGTCCTCCTGCAGGGTGATACTCTGCTCACGCTGTTTCGCCAAGTCGTCCTTAATCCTATCTACTTGGGCCTTGAGTAAATAATTGCCCTTCTTCAAGGCCGCGAGCCGTCCTTCGTGCTTCTTAATGCGCTTCTAGAATAGAGAAAGCATTTCGACGTGCAAAAAAGCTATCGCTTTCTTCATTCACTTACAAGTGCCTTGTATACTTACTTGAAATACATTTTTACGATGCTCGAAGGGTGCCTTCTCATCGTCCGACTCGGATTCTTCTTCTTCCGATTCCTCAGACTCCGACTCTTCCTCGGATTCCGTCTCTTCCTCCTCCTCTTCTTCCTCCTCCTCCTCTTCCTCCTCCTCCTCTTCCTCCTCGTCGGTCTCCGACACTAATTTTGCCATCTTGTCCACTTCCTTCTGCAGCTGCTTGAACTTCTTCTTTTCCTCCCTCAGCATTTTCTGCTGCTGCTTGATCTGTTCCTTCAGCGCGTGTCTCTCTTTGCGAGCGTTCACCGCCTTGTCTCTGTTTCAACGATTTATTAGATAAATCATTTTTGTTTTCTATTCTTTCTTTAAAACGCGTTTATCGTTGCACTCACTTGAAGCCCTTAATCTTCGAAATGAAGAGTTTGATTTCCCTCTGCGCGCGTTTTTCCGCGGCGACTTTAGGGTCTTCCTCCTCCTCCTCCTCCTCTTCCTCTGTACTTTCCTCTTCCTCCTCACTCTCGTTGACATCTTGCTTATCTATACTTTTCTGCGTCGCGATTTTAGCCACGTCTTTCGCGCTAGGACAACCGGCTAGTGCCATTCCTGTAACATCGTACATCGCGTACCCCACATTTTCCCAATCTTCCGTTAGCTCAACAATCGGTTCAGTCTCGGTAGGTGCAAGCTCTTCTTCTGTGTTAAGCGAAATAAGAAAACGAGAAAGCAGTATTAGTGTAAGCAAGTTTACTGGGGCCTTTTATTGTATCTTTCAGATCTTCGTCACATGTATTCGTTTAAGTTGGTGTTTTATAGACAGCGTCTATTGAAATAACCTTACGGCAGGTTGGCGACAAAAATAGCTATTCCTGCCACCATTTATTACCTGCCATTTTATACCTGCCATAAGATTATTTCAACAAATCCCGCCTACAAAACACGAACACAGTCTAGGGATTTGCCGTGAAATTTTGTTATTCGTAGAATGACTTTCTGGACACGAAATCTGCTCCTTTACTATACCACGCCATAAAAAGAACAAAACAAATTTCGATAACGTTGTAATATTATAATTATAGATTCTATTATGGTGTGTTATACTCCTGCTTGAAAAAGAGACGGATGATGTCCTTTCGTATTGTCATCCCCACTCCTCTCGTTCCGCAACATCATGGCTGCTCCTAAGTTCGAGCGTCTTACGTTTTTGCGAGTAGCCAAAACGTTACAAAAAAGAATAGAGATAACAGTGGGAAAAATCGGCCAATAAATACAACCTCGCCTAAACGAAGTATTAATTAAAGTAAGAAAAGTATATACGCAGTAAACTATTCGTTTAACACGATTGGATTTCAGTTACAAGAAACGAGAGCTTCCGTTCTTCAGGAATTAACGGAAAATTTCGTTGCAACACAAGGAAAATGCCGTGAGAAAGTTTTCTTTTTCTCAAAGTTAGGTTAGGTTATGTAACATCCGAAGAACGGTATGTGCTTAACACAAAATTGTTACTGATAACTGAATACATAATGAAAACGTTGTCGACTTCTGAGTGATTTAGGAAGTGGTTTGAAGTGGCATGGCTTTCAAAGGTTTTAACTGCTTTTCTTTTTAAGCTACGAGGGTGTCACCCAGTTCCGAGTTTCTTTTCGGTTACGAAAGACATAAATAAACTAAGAAAGAGAAATGTCTTCTCTCCAATGGAAAAATTGTGCTGTTTTCGATGAAATAGAACTATGAAATGAAAAATGAAGTGAAGTGAAAATGAAAGGTATGAAATGCAAAACATACGTGAGATCGAAGACTGAAAATGTACGAAACAAACGCAATCAGAGTGATGCAGATATTAACACTTCGTGATTAAAATAGCGATACAAATTCAGGCCAATTAGAAAGCTTAAAAAAGCGATCGATCGTTAATCTAAAGATTGCTACCAAACTTGAGCTTCTGCCAGAATAAACGCTCTAATTACGTACCAGCTTTCATGCGTTTCTCCAATGTCGCATACATTCGTTTCATCTCTTCCAACTCGTTTTTGGTCTTGTCTCTTTCCTCGGCAGCGGTAGCGTATTCCTTTTCAGCTTTCTCCGCGTCTTTCTTCGCTTGTTGTGCCTCTTGTCGCAAAGATTCCGAAAGTTTCTCGTCTTGCATCTTGTTCTCCTGAACGTTCTTTTGGGACTTCATACATTCCACTTCTGACTCGAGATTTAAAATTCTAGCCTGCGCATTATAAGTCACTTAACATTTAATAAGACATTGTAGAATTAAATTTATATTTACCTAACGAAAAGTAGAAGTTAAATCTTTCAAACATGTTTACAGTAACAGCTTTATCATTTCTCTCCAAAATATCGATCTTTCCCTTTGTAATCGTGATATGCCGCGCTATAAGTAATACTAATATACGCTATAAGTAAGACTAATTTAAGCATAGTAAGACTAATTAGCAAATTAAATATGGATACACCGATAAAAAAAGTTGAGAGAATTCCTCACTGACTGTCTCGCGTTGATTTCTGTTGGTTGTACAATAATTTAATTGATAACCGAACTTCCGAAAAAATACGAGAAACAAATGTATTTTTCGAGACCCATATACGTCTTTTTTACTTCGTTCTATCGGTCCTTTATTGACTGCGTAATTGATTTTTCACGCGCAATAAGTTAAATATATCAATATCTGAGCAATTAAAAACACCATGAATTTTATGCAAGATGTCTCGGAACAATTTTGACGGAGCATGCGTAGAATGAATTGGCTAAGCCGCGCTGTGACCTGAGCGGCTGCAGCTCTCGTCGAATACCATCTCAGTGCGCGCTCATTTGTCAGATTTCTGTAATTAATAACTCGATAATTATTGCGAATATCGCAAAACGGTATGAGGCTTTTTTGTTCGCCTTAATCCGTTCTACATTCTCACGAGCTTCGGCACCATTGTTCTATGACATCCTGTATAATTAATAATATGTACACAGGGTGTCTCATAACTCGGTACGAGGAATTCGCAGGGACATAGAGGGGATTAAAACAAACATAAAAGTCCTGTATCGTTATTCGCGATATTCGCAGTAATTATCGAGTTATCAATGACAGAAATCTGACGAATAAGCGATCCAAAATGGATGATCGGAGAAACGTTGCGACCATTCGGGCAAAAGTGCGGCCCAGTCGGTGTAACAACTGTTGCCGGCGCATGGCGAGGAGAAAGACAATGGGCCAATCGCTATTCGGCCATGCGTAATCTTATCTTGTCGCTTCTACGTCTGGCTGCACGCCGTCAACAGTTATGAGACACCTTGTATAAAGAGAATCCTTTTATGCAATTAACATATAAATTAAAAACCAAGCTGTTTTTCAAAGAGTAAGATAAATTAATTATATATTAGTTTACACACACAATAAGTATGTAATACGTAAAAAGATGTATAAAGCAAATGCGTACCGACGCGTGACCATCTCTCTTTATTTGACATAATAAATCTGTAATGAAATCAGCAATAGAGCAATTAATAAATCCCTAAATCCGTTTCACTGATACACAAGTACAATAATTATCTTAGGAAAATTATAAAAATTCATGAGAATAAAAATTTTATAATATTGTTATTAAAATCTTAAGATACAAGAATACAATCTTTATTTGTATATTGTAAATATATTTAATCTTACTTAGAAATTAAAAAGGTAAAAATATGTTTTTAGGTACAAGGATCTGTCCAGATATATATTCGTGTTTTTGTGTGATTAATGAATTGCCACAGCATACCAGGGTTACATCACTCGCCACCGCTGTTAGGGTTATATAGCATCATTTGGTACCGGGGTATCTTCACCTTTTTGGCCATGTAGTTATTGTTGAGCTAACAATATAATTTTCACGGCTATTGAAAACACAATTGGAAGGTCTTTTTGCTAAGAAATAAAAATTTTAATTGCATCCCTCTCGAGATGCAGGTTTCATACTCCGGATACCGCTGAAGATCAAAAGGGCAGAGAAATCTAAAATTGTCAAATGTCAAAAAGAGAAACTTGACAATTATTACGCAAGAATGCGAAACGCAAATCAAAGAAAACTGAGTAAACAGGAGTAGAAGGGACATTATTCACTAGAATTCTCGAATATTTCTTTTCCTCCATATATTACAAGGAATATCACGAAAGTATCAAAACGGAAATTCAATGGCTTCCAGTTATTAAAGTATCTCCTTTTTACCTGCAGGCGTTTATTGTCCCGCTCCAAAGCCTCCTTGTTTCTCAATTCTAACGCCAGCATTTGCTTCGTGCTCTGCAAATCGTCCCTTACAGCGTCTATATCGTCCATCTCGTCCTGCATTTCATCTGCCACTGGTTCTTCCGCCTTTTGAATTTGTTCCTCTATAGTTAATTGCCGTCGAAATTTCCGGAGACCTTCCAGCACCGGCTTCGAGCGATCATTTGTCCTGACACTTTTAAGTTTCACCCCTTGCTGAATCTGCTTCAGCAGTTGATTGTGCATATTCGACTTTTCAGACTCGAACACGAAGTGGGCCTTACCTATTGATCAGGGTGAAAACTTATGCGTGAGTCGTTGCTCGATCGTGTTGTCATGCATGGAGAAACACGGACTTGCATGTAGTCTCTGGTACCACGACTTGGCGACGAAAAATATGGTTGGTTCTTGGATCAAGACGTAATCGATCACATTAAAAATTCGAGAAGCGCGACTTACGCGTCTTCAAGTTGTGAAAACGCCGTCATGCATAGCGTCGCATATCACGGACAGCTCTCGAGTGACTAGATGCTCGATTGAAATTTTCACTGACTAAGAAATATAACGATTAATGGTTGACAAAGCGGCGGTAAAGGCGGCGCAGATGAATACCGCGACAGACGGAGCTATCGCGTACAATTTGGTACTCCACGAAAGAAGATGATCCCATCGACTTATCCTTGACATTTTGACTAATATTTTCTCTTCATCCGAGAATCATCCGGCTGGATGTTCTCCGCTTTTCCGCTGCGCGGGCGCGCTGATTCATAAAAGTAGCTGATAAGGCATTTCAGGCCTTTATCGTCTTTATAGATTTTATTTGATATCCAGATTGGTACCGCGACCATCGTGGATTTATTTTCAACGCGTTTCATGAATATTCCAATTCAGGAAGGAGAGGACTGAAATGCTCACGAAACATCGGAAACAAATCTGCGATGGACGCGGTGTCGATCAGGAACAAAATGAAGAGATCACCTCTTAAGCTCATCATTATGATCATTATGCTGCTAACGTAGGAGGGAGCAGGAGAGGGCCGGATGTCGGTAAACCCATTGAGAAACGCGAAGATACCAGTTAATTCAACGGTAATCAATTAACAATTTAATCAATCCAACAGTTCAACAATGGATTAGCTAGCCCGCCTGGCGGGGGAGCGAGAGATATTCATTTGGGCCAGGAGAAATTAGCGACGGACCAGTACTGCTGGCTATTTGCGCTACGAAAGAGGAACACGGAACTAGGGACGCGTGCGTTAATAAAAACCGCTTTTTCTCATTTGCCAATCAATCAAGATCAAACTTCAGCCGCATCAATCAAACAATCGCGTCACATTGTCATTGTCACCATTCAAAAATGTATGTGACGAGAAACGAAACAGAGAGATTTTGTGGGAATACGTTGGCGAGAGATCTTGAGAGATGCAGATACTTCTTTCAAGATCAAAGAACGGCGAGAAAAAAATATTTAGCAGAAAAAGGTTTGAGAGAAATTTGTAACGGTCATGGTGGACAAAGGAGTATACGCCTGTTACCTGCGGGGTCAGCTGTAACCTTGTTGACTCTTTCGATGAGTGGAGCGCTCCGGTCATTGCATTTTACGTGCCTCAGAGTTTTCCCACTTTCGACCTCTTTCATCATACTGGCCCAATCAGGCCGCTTCCTGGGCCTGGACTTCAGGACTTCCAACTTCTGCATTTGTTTGTTGTTGAGCGCAGGGAGGTCTTTCAGGATGTTCCGACTCGGCGGTGGTGGTGGTGGCCGGGGCGGAGGAGGCGGGGGTATATTCGCCCTCGAGGAACTTTTCGACAATGTAGGGGCACCTTAGGACACAGAATTCATTCTCGTTAGAGAGCTTAGAGTGTTCAGAAGCAGTTTGCATTTGCAAAATAACGCCAGTTATTTTCCCGAGTCTCAAGTTACTTCATTTCGTCTCGACGACTTGATAACGTTATTAATTAACAGTGGGTCAAGTGTGCAAGTATCTCGACGATTGCTAAGTCTATCGAAAGTGTAAGTAATCGGTAAAAATTATTATTAATACTAAAGTAATCTGTACAAAATTATAAGTCACTGCTGTCTCAGTAGAAGTCGTCGTTTCATTGAGAGTCAATCGAAAAATATGACTTTACTTTGTCGTCTATCGGCTTCTCTTTCTTTGCATGATTATTATTGGTGCCTTTTTCTTATTTTTCTCCTGTCTTATGTTACTCTGATGTAAGATTATTTTATCTTTATTATTCTCCTTTCCAGTTCAAGATAGCCAATACGTTGGAAGTCCAGTAATCTGCAGAAGGTCCCAGCAGTGATCCATCGGAGAACCCAGCTCGTATCTAATCAGTTTTGTGAATTGTTAAGTCTACCTGTCCAAGAAGTAAGTAGTACTCGCTGTTGTCTCGCTTTAGTTTGGTTCTTAAATTGGTACAAAAATGGTGCCGGGAAATGTAGCGTAACAAGTGCTCAGTGAGAAGAGAAAAAGAAATTTATACACTTGAAAAATAACGCGTACAAGTCACTTCTTTTCGTCTCGACGGCTTGCTAACAGTATTAATTAGCGGTATTGTGGTAACAATGACGAATTAGTGTTAAAAACGAATGCTTTCCAAAGCCTGATCCGCTCCCGAATTTATCCGTAAGATCAAAAGAACTTTAGAATGATAATGTAATATTTTCAACGCGAATCCTACGACCCTAGCTGTTATCTGCCATTTTTGTTAACGCATTTAACTTTTAACTCCAAGGTAAATTCTGTCGATTTCACATGGAAAAAAAGCGACGCATTTTTCTCTTCGCACTCGGCTGTAATAACGAGATCGAAAAGTTAAGTACAGTACAAAGTTGCAGCAAATTGTAAGAAAATAATAATCGCGCGTCCGGAGAATCATATTTATCACACCGATGAACTCGGGGACCAAAAAGTTCGCGTTAGCGTGTAACGAAAGTATCGGTCGCTTTAAGGGCGGCAGTAATTACGAAAGAGAGAAGGACCGTCGTTGCTCTTACCTGTAGTGCTCTCGCTCTTGGAGAGTGGTATACTGTCACCCCGCGATCGAGATCTCTCGATGCGAACTTGCCGCTCGAGCTGCGGCCTCGAATTTGGCTCCTGTCGCCCATTCTCGCGCGGTACCGGCCGGCCGCTCGGTATCTTCTCATTCTTCGGTTGCGACGGTATTATCGTGATTTTGCTCTGTTTCCGCGGCTGTTGTCCGTCAGCGGAAGCTTTGCGCGGCTGGCCATCTGAGGAAGGTGTCGCGGGCTCCGCGGGTTTTGGCACACTCTGTCAAATCAAATAGAAAATTATGCTCGCTGAGAGAAAGGCAGTTTTTCGCTACTTTGATGATACAACGCGGAGACGCGAGAACGTTTGTGTGTCCAGGATCTCTCCTCTTTTCCCAGTTATTGTTAAGTAACTAGGTAAAGCTTGCAAAGCTTGCCAATTTCGTTCTGTTTCTTCTCACACGTTTCTTACAATACGTTTTTTTACAATAAATAGCCGCAGTAAAAGATAGAAAAAAACGAAGGTTCGTCGCCTTCGTTTTTTTCTATCTTTTATTGGATCTATCTCTTCCGTCCCTCTCTTGTCCCGACTACACGACACAAAGGGAGAGAAAAAGGAGAACCATTTTGTACCATTTTGCAGGTCCGCGGCCTGTTCGGAAATGTCGCGCTCTTCCGTTCTAGCGTATTGAAAATATGATATATATATATATATTTAATCACATACATTTTCCGGTGTTTTCCTGGTAAAAATGTCGCTGTAGCGAAAACCGTTCAAAGTAAAGCGGATTTTAATGATCGATTGCGATTGTATGTAACGTCACTAAGACAAATGGTGCGAGAGAGCCGTCGACAAATTGCAATGTCGAAGTAGACGCGACGGCATTATGTCAGTGGACCATAAAGTTAATGAGATGAATAATGACTGTTACGTTTATCAATTGGTTAATTCGCCGATGTGTCCAACCAGCTTCTAACGGCTCTGCCTACGAGTTAACGCCAAATAGTCACGTCGCCGAATGAATTAACATTTTCGAATACGAATTTGGCGATTTACTTTTTTACCCGATTGGCAGGACCTTCGTCACACTCTTTTGTCGTAAATTATTTGTCGTAGATTTCTTTGACTTAACTTCTGCCACATTCTTCTGGCCATATGGTTAGGTATACGGAGAAAAAATGTCGTTCACTTTTATAATACTGTTTTTCACAATAGATAGTCGTAGGGAAAAAAATATAAAAAAACAAGGGTTCGTCGCTTCCCCCTACCCCGATCCACTGTGCCATCTCGCGCGACACAAAGAGAGAGAGAGAGAGAGAGAGAGAGAGAGAAAATGGAAAAGAATGAGAGAGGAAGAGAGACCGAAGGAATTTTCTTGGCAAGCCTCGAAGCAGAGAAGAGTTCGTTCCGCCGGCTTTAAATAATTCACATTGAATTTTGCACTTGAGATGTCACGTTCTACAATTTCGATCGTCATTGACGCGGAGTTTCCATCTTTTAAAATAAATAGCTGTCATCAAATCGTTGCTTGACTTTCCAGCGTTCAAGGTCCTCGGGAATTTCTCACTCTTCATTCTTCCAATTGTAAATTCGTCGTTTCTAGCAAAGTCGTTTCTGCGCGTATCAACGTGACGTCGCGATCGCGATTTTTGGATACAGTTCGGGCGGGAAATCGCCGGTATAATCGCGTGAAGAAACTCCGCGGAAGACGCAGCTGGCAAGCCATTTGAAATAGAAACGCGTGTTCTTTAAATAATCGTGACCCAGAGGCTTATATGCGGCCGCGTGTACGACGGATCTCACCTTCCTTCGCGTCGGGAAAACGAAATTATAATTGATAAGGGCACGCGTGCGGTACGTTTCGATCGCTTTAATGGGGAACGACCGTGAACCGACCTGCATTCTGATTGTCTAAAAATATCCGAAGTCAACGTGAAAATTTGCTATTGTTTTGGCGATCGTTAGGTCGCCGCGTGAATCATTAGACAACAATGCGAAGAATCCGACGCAACATCAGACATAACGTGACGAATGTCGTTAGGATTTATTTAGAAATAACTTCAGGTCAAAAGGTTAAGGAACCTGCGGTTCCTTTCAAGGATAACATAAGGGTCACCCAAAGAAAGAAAGAAATTCTCGCAGAATTATGTGTTTTGGGATATCAGCGGTTACAGTCCTTTGTTACCTCGAAAATATTTAGTGTGCAACGCGGAAAAAAATAACAATGGTACTCGTTATCGTTGCAAAAAAATGCAACCATGTTATCGTTACCGTTAATAGCGAAGAACAAAAATTACGTCGTTGCCGAAAAGTCGTTGCCGAAGGGAAGTGTTTAGCAATGGTAACGACATTGCCAACAACGCGTTATTTCCTCGCGTTAAGTCCTGCCGCAAGGATCTACGTGCATATACATCTCGGTTGACAATTTTACGATTATCTCTAAGATTTTCTCTGAAATTATTTTATCTCGAACTCGATCTGTCCCGTCGATGACTTAATCGTGAGCGAAAACCGGTGAACGGTATCGCGACATGTAACGTCGGGGCGCGTAAAAAGGGGGGCGCTCCTGCGCGAGCGCGTCATCGTGATTTCGAGGGATTCACGTTTTCCGCATTATCTCGAGTCGCGTAGATCAATCTGTCTTCTCGCGGAGCGTTGCCAGAAAACCGCGAGGATATTCGTTTGGAAAACCTTCCCGCAATTTGATGATATAAATCCAACAGCAATAATCTTGAGCAGCGCGAAATGTGCGTGAGCACTTTGAATCGCAGATCTCGAGTTCTCTCACTCGAATATAGCCGTAATTCAAGATCGAACTCTTGGAGAACTCTTTCTTGTTTCATGAGCGATGTCGAGCTAAATATTCAGCCAATCAGACTTGGACAATTCGCCGTCGGCAACTCTGATCGGTGATAGGTCGACACCCCTCGCCCCTCGCTCGAACGAACGGAACGACGTGATTTTTCGCTCGAAAGACAGAATCGTTTTTTCGTTCTTTGTTTTGATGACAATTGGATCGAAGTGTACTGTTTAGATGCAACAGCTTGCGCCGAATTCCGTGCCAGCCGAAATGTTTATCGCGCTAACTCGCTGCGGGACACCCACGCCGGCTAATAATATCACGATCAGTAGTGAAGTCCGCTGACTTTGAAATCCAATATCTGAATGGAAAAAGATTGCAGAAGTCGCATAGCGCAGATTACTCGCGCGTACTTCCAGTTGAAACAGAGGCAGATTATATTAATCGATTTTAATCGTGACGGAAGGATGCGATATGAATTCTATCTTAATTAGAGAGACGGTGCGTTTGATCGGAACTGATCCGAATGTTAACCCGAGACTTTGCATTTCGCTTCGAGCAGTTGCTTCCGACCGATAACTTGTAACATTTAACGTAAAATTTTATCTAAAATCATCGTTTACCATCGTAATCCAACTGATGAGGGTGAAAATTAATTACTTAATTGCTCCACTGCAACATGGTATATTTTCATAAGTCTTTATAAATATAACTGTTAATATAGTTGGAAAAATACCTCCCTAATTAAGAAAACGAAAATACCGCGCTGTCTCGCGCTTGAGTTAAGACAAAGGGTTGAAGTTGAAAAAATCTTGAGCGATATATCGAACAGTCTCATCGTAATTCCGCGGGATATTTAATCTTCCACCGTTTCCGTCCGTTCGGATATTTCGTATCATCCTAAAAAAAGATCGCGGTTAAATCTCTCTGCCGTGACTTGCCGTCGCAAAGTCGTGACAACGTAAAATCCCTTTCGCGCGGTGCTGGCAGAGGATGAAATTCAATGTACCGTCGCTTCAAAACCGTCGTTTCCAGGACACATCCTCCCAAAGAAAACCCATCCTTCATTTTCTACGGATTCCCATCGAGTTCACTCCATCTTGAGATTTTACTATAAAACGAATCGTCGAGTCATGCTCTCGGAATACTCCACCTACCTTTAAGGTGACTTGAGTGAAGGCGGGAACTTCCTCGGTCTTCGGCTTTGAGTCTCTACGGGAGTTGAGGGTCCACGGCGCTGTGGGCATCGGCAGCGGGTTTGGACCATCTTTGACCCATGGCGGTCGGAAGGTGGTCCTTTGCGGCGGCTGACCACCGGCGCCGGGCATTTTCTTTGCTCAGCGCCTTCCTTTGTCCTCTTCTCTTTCGCTATGGAGGACGAACGATCCTTCGGTGTTCGGCACCTGCGCTTTTTCCCCTTATATCATTCGCCGACGTGTCGACAAAGGCGACGTTGGGTGTCTCCGGCTCTTTTAAAATCGCCTGCTCGCGCCCCCGCCCGAAACAAGCGGCGATGGCGACGATCCTCCCGAGGACGTGCGCGATGCGCTACTGACGAACTCCTGGACCGACCGCGATACACGAAGGTGGGGCTCTCGCGTGGGCGAGATCGGGCGACCCACTTCTCTCTCTCACTTTCTCGATAAAACGTCGTCTCTCGCGATGATAATAAGCTTCTCGCTGCACGACTCTAGGCTTCTCGATGGGGATCTCCGCGGCAAACGACCGTCAAGCTTGCCGTTCGCGATGTCGACCGACCGACGCGTCTCTCAACGAGAGGGGCGAGCATGTATCACGACGGGGTCGAGGATTTTTGCGCGAGTCCGGGAAAGATCGAGACCTGGACCGCGCAACAGGCCCGCGGACTGCACCTCCCTAACCGTATGATATTTTCGGCCATGTGACGTCACCGAGAGACGCAAGCTCAAAATAGAAAGACTACTCTTCCTCCTCCTCCTCCTCCTCCTCCTCCTCCTTCTCGTCCTCCTCTAGGATGCCTTCAGCGGCGCATACGACGCGCTTTTCTTCTTCTTCCTCCTTCTCCTCCGCTCCCTCCACTGCCACCCGCTTTTCTCGCCGGCCTACAAATGCACTACGCGTCTGTTTACGATGCACCCGCGTCGACCGACCGAACGCGAAGGTCGATCGATCTTCAGGGTCAACCGGTTGTACCTTACCGAATCAGAAATGATTAAAATACATGAAAATCGTCTCAATAGACGAGGGCAGTTTATCAATGTGCAATTTACAGACAAGGCGCATGATGTAGAAACGCTGATCAGACAATGACGATTGTTACATCTGCGCTTTTATTGCCGCATCTAGGCAAGATCTTGTGTTAGTCCTTCTCTTTTTCGTAATTTTCATTCATTGATATTATGAAGGTCCTCTATTATTGAACACCAGTGCACACATTCGAGACTCGGAAAAAAACAAATGTACAGAATTTAACTTGTTCGAAAAGAGAGGAAAGAGAATTAGCGCGAGAGAAATAAAGTGTAGGGATTTGGTAATAAAAAACAAGACTATAGATTTCAAGGAAACCTTATCGAAAAGGATCGTAGAAAAATGATTAAAATATGAATTTGTTAGGAATTAAATGAGTTTAAAACCTCATACATTTTTGTACCAGAGAACCGATTCCCCTGAGCAATGTAACAATTAAAAAACACATTTTTTCCCATTAATCAAAGTTTATTTTCAACATCCGCCATTTTGTAGAACATTTTTTACAATTCACTTTTTACAAATCTTTACAAGAAATGTCCGGGCTTTAATTTGAGCTTCGTTTCGTCTCAATACAATGATTTTTGGCTGCTTATCGCTATTGAAAGATGTTACAAAATTGTGTTAAAATTTAGTGTTAATTGCATTTATTTTGTCCAACAAATAGAATGTCACTGTACAGTGATTTTCTTTAGAGAAGATTTTCTAGAGGAGGTTTTTTACAGGATGGAAAATCAAGGAATCTTCTGGTCAAGCTTTTATGCGGAGGGAGAAGCCGAACTTATGGATATTGATGAACCTATGAACATGGGCGAACCTATGGATGTAGACGAACCTATGGATATAGGCAAACCTATGGATGTTGATGATTTTATGGATACAGGTAATTTTATGGATATTGATAATTTTATGGATATTGATAATCTTATGGATATTGATAATCTTATGGATATTGAAAATCTAATGGATATATCTGTGGAATTTACAGGACAACCTATAAACAAAGAAAACGAAGAAATGGACATGGACGACAACGAAAGTTATTCACTCGAGAACCAAGATTATGCAGATGAATATATAAACAAAAATATAGAAGTATATATGGACATAGATGAATATATAATCGAAGACATATACATGATCAAACAACATAAACAATGTAAACGGAAAAACATATACCAACAAAATTATACGAACGAAGACGAGATAGATGTGGAAGAAGCTTTCGGACAAATCTACCATCCTGAATACCAATATATAGATGTTCATCTATGTAAGAAGTTTAAAAAGCTCTTGATCTGACACATACATGGCATTAGAAACTGTCAAACTATAATTGTATTGGAAAGTGGCATTTCTGATACAAACCCATGTAAAATTTTATTCGATCTGTCAAGTCATTCGAATATTAGCACCAGTTGAAAATGCTTGGTGCAAGATGGGTGTCGCATTTGCTAACAAACTAGACTAAAAACGCGTATTCGAATGCGTATTTCTCAAGCGTGTCTGGCAGATTTTAATCGTTTTGAGCAAAATGAAATGGATTTCAAGCGTCGTTTCATAACTATTGATGAAACTTGAATCCACCACTATACACCAGAGCGAAAAGAACCTTCCGGAATCACACTTTAATGATGGTATTGAATTATTGGAAAAACGTTGGAATAAATGTATTGAAGTTTCAGGAGATTATATTGAAAAATAAAACATATTTCACGGCAAATAAAATTTTCTTTCATTGGAAAGACGTTGGAATAAATGTATTGAAGCTTCAGAAGATTGTATTGAAAAATAAAACATATTTCACGGCAAAAAAAATTTTCTTTCATTAGGCCGAAAACTTTTCAGGCTGCCCTCGTATTTAGGGAGGTATATCCCATTAACGAAAATCCATCATAATCCAATGCAGAATTATATCCCATATTAACACATTGCATGCGGGTATACTAGGTGCGCAACCAAGTTTCCGAGTTTTTTTGATCAATAAAAGAACGAAAAATTTCAAGAGAAATACAAAAAATAGTTTATTCAAAGTATCGCTTGGGGCCATTTATTTTGCACTTCAATATATGCTCTACGATTATTTAAAAAAAAAAACGAAATTTTCTTTTAATAAGTTAATATAGAATAGTGAACTAAAAATGAAAGGGAAATAGACAATTTCTAATTTTACTATTTATTCAAAAATATTTTTTCATAACTCGACAAACTAAACTTCTAGAAAGAAACAATGGAAATCGTTGCCTAGCAACGCAAACACCATACACACTTACAATGCCCATCGTATTTATATGATACCCGCTCTCCAGCACGAATCTACTAAATACGTACTTTTACGTGACCCGCGCTCTAGTGACAGACTGCAAAAAACGTAAAAGTACGTTTCCCGCATGCAATGTGTTAAACAGACGATGCCTATATGATTTTGATCCATTTCATCGTTTTCGTCGTTTGTAGAATTTTCTATTGATTCAATTAATATGTCCATTAGATTTTCAATATCCATAAGATTATCAATATCCATAAGACTATCGATATCCATAAGATTATCAATACCCATAAAATTATTAATATCCATAAAATTACCAGTATCCATAAAATTATCGACATCCATAGGTTCGTCTAAATCCATAGGTTCGTCTATATCGATAAAATTATCAATATCCGTAAGATTATCAATCTTACGGATATTGACGAAGAAATGGACATAGAAATTTATCATACAAAATGATACGAATGAAAACGATGAAGATGGATGTGGAAGAAGCTCCCGTACAGATCTACCATCCTGAATATCAGCCTATAGGCCTTCATCTATTTAGGTATGCATATCCCATTAACGAAAATCCATCATATTCCAATACAGAATTATATGCCATATTAAATAGAATACACGGCCTAGTAAAATCGATACATCTGTAGAAAATTCTACAAACGAAGAAAACGACGAAGAAATGGACATAGAAATTTATTCAAACAAAGACGAAAATAACTTAGACAAAAATAATGCAGAGGAACACATGGACATAGACGACAACAAAAATTATTTACTTGGAAACCAAAATCATATAGGCAAACATATAAACAAAAACAATGTCGAAGAACATATGGACGTAGACGAACGTATAGCCAAATTAGACACTTGCTTCTCTCTTATGTAAGAAGGGATGCAGATCAGCAGATGAGAATAAACAACTAGGCGAATATCAAGAGATACAATATTAGATGAAGAAATATACGTGGTAAGTGTATGTGTGCATAAGTGTATATTATTATTTAACAATAGATTTTATCTTTTAGGTTTTATTTTACAATACATAAATTATATACTAACTTGGTAATTTCTATGACGTCATTATATTCTGTGTTGTTAAAGGTGTGAGAAAGGTCGTCATCACAGTTTGGACTAAATAATACACTAAATAAAGTAGACAATAATGACCAAGCCCAAGATCCATTCCACGAGCTATTGGACGACAAAGTACAAATCCATCTTGCATGGAAACTGCATAGAAATGAAGGATAACATCTCATATCAGTGGCATATTTAAGGATAATGGAGAAAAAAAGGATAAAGAGGTAAACTCTTGACTTTTTTCATATTTAAATTTTTAATATTAATGACGATATATATATATATATATATATATATATATAGCCAAATTATATTATCAGGTTATATAGATATTCGAGTAGTTTCTTACTTATAATTGAATTCAAATTTTCAATAAATTGTTTTATATTTTTCAGATTCAATATAGACATGTATCATGAATGGCTCGCACATATCGAAATCTGTCGGAAAACTACATAATTTCTAAAAGGTAAAATATTCTGACGACTAAAAGAAATGAAAGGATGATCCTGGATGAGCGCGAAAAAACCAATTCATAGTGACTGCTTGACTCAGTACAAATATAAATAATAAATAAAATTTTAAAGACTTTTAATGACTGCACTTGACTCACGTCTACATTGACAAGAATATTGTATAATTTTCACGAATATTGTACGAGAGGAATACAGTACAAATATAAATAATAAATAATACAATACACATATATATATATATATATATATATATATGGATGATTGTGATATACTTTTATGATATGTGCATATATATGTGTATATTTATATTTATATTTATATTTACATGTATACTTTATGCAATTATTTTTTATAACATATATTAAAATAGTTCAGAAACAATATTACGAAAATTATATAGGCGAACATATAGACGAAAACGATAGAATAGAGGAATACATGAACGTAGACGATATAAACAAACGTATAGACGAGGACGTACACATGATCACGTGAAAACAATATAGATGAACACGTGGACGAAGATAATATAAACGAAAACATGGACAAAGATTAAGGTCAGCAAAGTAAAATCTACTATTAGCTTCATTATATTATTACGTGATTTAACTTGAATATATCATTATTTAATGTATCAACATTTTAACGTAGTACTGGTATATTTGTTTTATAACCTTGCGGCCAGTTAAAGCACAACTGAAAAAAATCAACGTAATAATAATAAAATTGAGATTCGATAGAAAATCATCTTTTTATGACATCTATTCTATAAGATATTATAATAATTTTAATCAACGAGTATTAAAAACTTGTATCGAAACGAACAGAGTGTGAGAAAAGCTTTTGTTCAACCAATTTCTCTTTCAAATTCCCATACTTTTCTTCGAGCTTTCGCATCGAAGGAAAAAGAAAATTTCTAAATTTGGACATTAGGTTCTATCTGATTCCACTTAACCGAAACTCAAACCCATTGAGTGTAACTCAAAGGTCTTCTCAAGACGCCGCTAGATGGCACCAGGCAGGCTGCTAGCCGCACTTCACGCGATGTACAAAGTATGTGTATGTGTGTAGGTTATTTTAAAGTATATTTCTAAATCTACCGCTACGAGGCGCCACCGCTTCTACCGCCAATTTAACGAGATCGTAATACGACTCAACAGTGAATCTCAGACGTGTCACATGTAATAAACAGGTATTTCTTATATTCTTATATATTTCTTATATAATTGCTCTATATTATCTTTAGAGTCTCTGTCAAAATTGATAAATAATATTTCCATACGCTTTTATCGAAATCTCTTTCATCGAAAGTTCGCAAAAAATGAGTTCGCATTGAGCGAAAAATACAAAAAGGACCTTCGGTAGATTTGTAAAATGGATGTGGTAACATTTTGGCTGAATTCAATTCTCAAATAAACCAAACAAATAAGCAAAAGAGATGATATTTGTACCTATTTTACGGCGCGTGTATCACATTGCTCAATATACAATGCAAAACAATTCGCACTGTGAATTATACTTGTTTTCGAATAACGAAAACAACGTTTACTCGGACAAAAATCATCTTTAAGCTATTGCGAGGGCTCTCATTACTTTCCCGCGACCATTTCGCGGCCATCTTATTTTAGCGCGCGCGCGCAATTAGATTTCCTTAAATAAATCATATTGCAACATCGACGTCAAATCAACGCTGCTCATTATCTCTAGACTTGTCTCGCGCCTCGGAACAAATTCAATCGGACGTGGTGTCCATGTCATTGTTTGAGTCACTCGCGCCTCTTCAGAGATTTCCAAAATTACACGCGAAAACAAACAAAAAGCTTGCGCCGAAGCTTCACGACAAAGACCAAGAAAAGAAAAGGAAAAAAACGAGGACACACGCGCGAAGAGACTTCCTCGTCTAGACGCGCGCAAAGTCGCCGAGCGAATTAAGGCTCTATTATTACCGTCATCATTGTCGCGGCGAAAGTCCCAATTAAGCAGCCAAGTTCTTCGGTCTCTTCCTCGAGGCCGAAGAATTTCCGAGGAATTCGCGGCGGGTGCGGCTAGGTGGTCGTCATCAATCCACGCGCATACCCGGTGACAACTACCGAATTAGTCGGGCGATCCGTCAAGAAGCGTATTTCCGTGGGTAGGCGTACATTATATCCATCGTCAGCGGAACACATGGCGCTCTGCGTCCGGACACGCGCACGCACCCTCGGTGCGAGATGGGAGAACGATGCGTGTGCACAGCAGGGCCGAACCTCGCGGCTCAATTTCCTACCAGTTTCGCCAAGCTCCGAAGAATCGAAGACGCAATATTCTGAAAAAATATCGGAAATTAAGATCCACGGTCGCGAGCACGGTTTGTTCTCTTGGAGACCACTTCGTTCAAGGAGATCGAATTCTCCTGGGATACCGCCTGGGATACTTTTTCATCGCAACGGACGACGTATGATTGTGATTTGAAAAACAAAGAACATCTGCAAGGATATTTCAGTAGCCGAGACCAAGGTGAATCCGTGGATACGAGAAACGGGACAAGGTAAGGTCCTCTCGTCCACTTCACACGGTTTGACTCGAAAATCGCGGCGACCGTGGCTCGGCTGATTAGCCACATACCGTCATCGTCGAACATTATTTTCGATTTTTGCAACTTTTTGCACTATAAGCCGGCATTGTAATTGTTTCTCTTCTGAAGATTCTCACTGGTATCTTGAGATGTGTTCAAACTATGTTTTGGTCGCTTCTGATTACATACTTAAACTATGTTTCGATTCTCTCTCTGTTCACTCGTACAACTAGACCGTAATACGTACATAATATCGCCAACACAGATTCTCCGGCTCGGGAATGGCGACCGTAAGAAGATCTTACCTTGTTCCGTTCCTCTACGGACCTTGGCCGAGACATGCGACTTCTTCTCGCTCCGTCGCGAGTTTCGTGCGTAAAGATTCGACGTTGGACCCCTCGCGCCGTTGCGAGTCGTTGCGTTACTCCGATTGCTTCAAGCTCTCGGAGAACAGTGGCGATGTGCGCGGAGACACTCGCGCCGGCAAGAACCGCGAGAAACGGCACGCAACTCTCACGTGTCGTTAAATTTCTTGCACGATTCCAGCTCGGACCGCTTGGGGACGCTTCATGTGCGCTGCGAGTGATAATCCAAGGACAAGTAAGTTTACCGCTGATGTGTACGCAACTATGTCGAAATCTCCGAAAGAATGAGATTTCCTTGGAAATTTTCTGCAAAATCCAACCGCGTGTGATTCGTGCAGGAGAATAGCAAAGCTTTCAAATCAAGAGGGGTGTACGTGGAAATGATTTTATTACGTAGTAATTTGGAAATTACTTTCTTCGAGAACCCACTTCCTGTGATATACAACATATCGGAATCCTCTTCATCGCATGCTTTGCCTTCTCGCATGTTTATGTACACGTTTACCGAGAAAAGGGAAATGTGTAATTCTTATGAGTACGTATGCGCAGCTCCTGCCGAACTCGCCGAGTCGATGCGGCCCGCTTTCCGCAGGACCACGGAAAATGACTCTCGAAAATGAGACTCGATATTTCTTCGGCCGGCAAAATCGGCCGGCTCGATTTCGCGCGCGGGGAAAAAGGAAGTCGAGCGGAGAGTCACATCATCGAGACAGCACCGAGATCCTTCGATCCGGGAGGGATTTTAATTCATCGTCGCGCGGAGGCTCTCCCCTGCGAAGGCTCTCGCCGAAAGTTCCTGAACTTGGCGCGACGTTTCGCGCGGATATATCCCATATTACAATTTCTCCGGGAATTGCATCGCCTGGCCGCGGGTGCCGTACCCGGCGGTTTCAACCCTGGGCGTGCTACACGCGTGCACATGCCGCGGTGGCGGAGGAGGATGAGGACGAGGATGAGGATGAGAGGTGGAGAAGAGCCGGGGGAGAAGGAGGCAGGCCGGCACTCGTAATACATACGTGCATCGTGCGTGCAATGGCCCGTAAAAGCTGACTGGCTGCTCGGCACCCGAGAGAAGAGGGATGCAGCCACGCCAGCTATGTTAATTAAACGCGTTTCTAGCCCCCGCATAGGAAATCGGAGAAAAAAGAAGAAGAGCCGCGAAGGAGGAGGAGGAGGAGGAGGAGAAAGAAGAAGAAGAAGGAGAGGTAAGGGGGAAAGAGATGGCAGAGGGAGGAGTAGAAGGAGCACGGAAAGAGAGAGAGAGAGAGAGAGAAGAGAGTAAGTGAGTAAAAGAGAGAGAAAGAGAGGGAGAGGGAGAGAGAGAGAGAAAGAGAGAGGAGTGCCGGGCTAATAACACGTCCCATACGACGAACGCACGCCACACGCCCGTCTTCTTCTACTGCTGCTACCTTCTTCTTCTTCTTCTTCTTCTTCTTCTTCTTCATCATCTTCTTCTGCCTCTTCTTCTGTCTTCCCGCTCGCACCGAGGCCGTCCTTTTGCCGCGGGGAATCGAGCGACGCCCGAAAGAATCGAGAGCGGGCCGACCGACCGACCGACCGACCGACCGACCGACCGACCGACCAACCGACCGACGGACGGACGGACGGACGGACGGACGGACGGGCGACGAGCGTCCGAGGGACTTTGTAGGAACTGGAGTGAAGGCAAATTGGAGTATTAATTATCCCGGCGAGTATGGTCGGGTCGATTTGCTCTCCGGCCGGCGCGAGGGAGAAAGGGAGAGAGAGAGAGAGAGAGAGAGAGAGAGAGAGAGAGAGAGAGAGAGAGAGAGAGAGTGAGTGAGAGTGAGAGAGACAGAGCGACGGGGCGACGGACAGAGATTGCGTCTTGACGTCTTCTCAAAGGGTTGAAGCCCCGACTTCTCTCGTCTCGCGAGAGGAGGAGGAGTCCTTCGGCCGCCGTCGCCGCCGCCGTCTCCGCCGTGATCGTCCGCGCGACGAGCGCGGCGGATAATCGCCGCGGTTTAGATAGGCAGAGCGTACGCGCGAGCTGGAAAAGCAGCGGCCGTTTCCAGCGGGATACGCCTTTCTTCCGCCGGCGTACAGCGAGGCGTGTTAATTGCGCCCGGTAATTGCCGAGCGACGGGACGGCTCGTGGTATGTGCGCCCGTGTGTGTGTGTGTGTGTGTGTGTGTGTGTGTGTGCGTGCCTGAGGTAAGATGTGAGAGGGGGTCGGGAGGGGAGGTACAAACGGCCGATCGAAATTAGCCGGCTATTAACGAAAAGCGGCGGTAACGCGTAAGCGGGACCAAGCGGCGGGGCGGTCACCAGGTCGCGAAGAAGCTCGGTAGATTTGCACACCTAGACTGAACGTTCCAGCCGGAAAGGCCGCGGAAACGCCTGAAAGGAACATGCCGCAGGCCGCGTTCTTTTTTCCTCGATCTCTGTCTTCAGCTTCGTTCTTGTTGCGGGAAGCTGAACGAAGATAACACGCCCGCGAGCGTACAGCTGTCCTCGATATTTCGCCTCCGAATCTCCCTCCCTCTCTCTCTCTCCCTTCCTCTCTCTCTCTCTCTCTCTCTCTCTCTTCGACTAAAAAGACGCAGCCTACGAGTCTGCGAGAAGCACGCGCGGACGCGCGACGAAGCGGCGAAGACAAGAAGGCCGCGACCGATCGCACTCTGTCGTCGCATTCGGCGAGGAAATCAAAGCACAGCGCGAGCGCGATCTGCTTCGTGCGCGCGTTTGACTTCCTTTCACCGCGCTTTCCAGCGCGCCGCCCTTGATCCAAGTATTAGGAGCTGGCAGGCGGCCGGTGTCATTTCAGGAATATCGTCTTCTGCCACCGCGTTCTCTCTCCTTGACGAGCCGCGCGCCGCGCCGGCCCGCGAAGCTTTCTCTTTCTCTTCCTCCCCCTCCCCCCCGCGGCGGTGTCGCGCGGTTCCGCCGGCCGGCCATACCTGGCATTCGCGATTCGCGCGGCGCCTGAGCCGCGCCGCGTCGTTCCACCTGTTACGATTTGGAGACCGTCATTTTTTTCAGGAGTCCGCGCGGAGCCTCCCTTCCTTTGTCCCGTCGACGAACGCCGCCATCGTCCGAGTCATCAATTTATTATAACGAGGCGCGCTCGTAGACATTTGTCAGAACATTATGTGGTCGACGCGCGATGCGCCGCGGCTGTAATAATTCTCGATGCGCGCGCGCTGCCACGGCCCGGTTCTCGTCCGTCCGTCCGTCCGTTCGTCCGTCCGTTCGTCCGTCCGTCCGCTCGGCCGTCCGCTCGGCCGTACGTCGCGAAACAAGTTTTTCAGTAATTTCGCCGCGGCAGACCGGCCCTCGCCGCTTGTCTGTCTTTGCTCGCTTTGACAGCGTCCCGTTGTGGATAATCACTTCCTGAGCCTAATGGCCTAACGGAAAAAGAGCGCTCGAAAAAGCGGCCGATTGTCCTCGAGAAATTAATCAATATCGCCGCGGGTCACAAAGACCTCGCGCGCCTTTTAACGCCGCTCGGCAGGAAGGACGCCTCTCTCGCGGTATCTCGCGTCGCTCCGGTACTCGCCGGTAGACGCCGCGCCGGTAAAAAGCCGTAGACGCGTCTTAGCGATTAGCGGGTCGACGGATCGTTCTCTTTCTCGGCGGCTCCGCATGCGTCTATTTTTATTCGCCGAGTGTGTAATAATGTCGGGCTCTCCGATGCCGCCATTCGCCGCGACTCGACCGGGCCGTGTATCATTTATATACTTACGATAAGCTCGCGGGCGCTCTCGTCGTGATATTCATTCGGGCTCGGCTTGATCCGACGTTCTTCCGCGTTTAGCGTCGGGATCATATTGCGAAACTTCTTATTTTCAGCATCGGGATTAGATCGCCGAACTTCTTATTCCCAGCGTCGAGATAAGATGGCGAAACTTTGCTGCTCACGGCGCCGCTCGAACTTCGAGCCCGCTCTCGCCGTCGAGGAGTCAGGAGTCGCGTTTTCGGAGCCCGGAATTCCTCCCCCCGTTGTGCGCAAAAAATCCTGCCGAGAGCGGCTCGAGAAGGCGGTCGAAGTCGCGCCGCCGACAAATTAACCGGCGAAGGGCTGTCGCTCGCCGTGTCGAGGGGGCCGGCGGGGGTGCGTGAGGATGTCGGAGGGTCGCGCGCGGGCCGCTTCAGGGAAACGCACGTGAATCGGCTCGGGGAAAGGAAGCGACAGAGTGCACATGTCCGACGGGGGCACTTAATCATCGGGGAAATTTTTCCGTCGACAACTGATTAGCCGCGCCCGAGCCGAACGGCTGATTAACACGTTTCACATCGCTCCACCCTCGCGCGAACCCTGAAAACGATACGGTCGCGTCGGAAAGCGCGTCACTTCCGTCACAAGCCGCGTTATTTTTATCGTGCGAGTGCACGACGATGAAACGGGCGCCGCCGTCGGCAGCCACCACCGTCGGGAAGCTCCTCGACGGACGACCTCGATCCGATTTTCAGGGAATCGATCTTTTTCTCGCGGAAATCCTTTCTTCAGATCGATCGTTTTCTGCCCGATTTTTGCACAAACCGACTTTCCTCAATGGAGGGTGGAATTTCGATACGCTTCTTCATCGGTGTGTTGCGGCTGATGAAGAATTCAAGCGGGATCAAGAGGACTCGAGGGAGTCGATTTGCGCGAAGATCAATTGCTGGAAGACTTCACTTTCGAGCGATCGATTTCCCGAAAATCGAGTCCCGAAAATCGTCGATCGAGCAGCGAGAACGAAGAGATCCCGCACGTTGACGTTCCTCAGCGTGATTGTTTCATGACCGCGCGGCGCCTTTGACGTAACAGTTAAGGTTGCCAAATCCAAAAGTTAAAATTACCGGACATTTCTGCTTTGGTAACAAACCCAAACAAGACTAAACCGGACAGAAATAATAATCATAACGTTACATTAAATACAAAATATGACAAGAATTTATTTACAATATTAATTTTATTAATCTCCAAACAATTTTATAAATAATTTTATAGACAAGATTTGATTGAATAAAATAATTAACTATTACTTTTTTAATATATATGTAATGATGGATCGGCAGATCATCCACTAGATGGCTTTTCGTGGCGCTCGATCGTTTGTAGGCGTTTGAAACGGAGAAACGTTGCTAAAAAAATCTGAACTCTCATTCC